CTCAGCCACAGTGAAGAAGGGAAGTTTCTAGGAACAGGACTGGACAAGGAAGACAAAGGAGAAGTATGAGATGTGGGAGTGATAATTCAAGAAGGCCCCAGAGAAATGGTGAGCTAAGAAAGGCAGGAAAGGCATGGCTATTTTGATAACTGAGGTATAAGAAAAATGAGGATACAGCCCATACCCTCAGCACTGGGTGTGCTGCCTGGCCAGGCTGTGAGGCATGAAAGCGTTAACCCTTCTGGAACTGGTTCAAGACATTCCAGTGCTTGAAGTCACACAGTAAAAATAAACCTCATGCCAGGCATGTTGCCTGTGGGGTTTATGCTCTGCTTTTTGATTCAATCATTTAGGAATGCAAAGCCCTTCTATGAGGTCTGGGCTTTAACAGCATCTTTGCTTTGCCACCACCAGACTGTGGCAGACAGTGGAGTAGATCCCATGGTAATGAAATCCACAGTAAAAAGGTCCATGTCTGCCTGTAGCTGCTCAGTCATGCTATTTCTGTAGGGTCTGATTTACCTTTGGACTGTGCTGTAGCATCATTTTTTGAAGACTGAAGACAAAATGCTTTCCCTTCTGTGTGTCTTACACACCATACTCTTCCTAGGCACCACTGCATGTCCACTTACACGGCAGGGAAATGGTGAGTCCGCCTCAGAGAGGCTGAGTGTTTGCTAGGAAATAAGATAGGCTAGACAGACAGCTTGTACATTAGATTCCTGTGTGTTTCATTGGCAAGGAGAAGGAGAGTTTAGCCATCCCCAGCCCGTTCCCTTTGTAAGCAGTGTCACACTAAATGCAGCAAGGTGCAAGTTGGACTGCAGCACTTGGAGGAGCCACCCCCTCTGGGGATTTGCCCGGGGTAGGACTTGGATTTTGTAATTTTGAGCAATAGTTCCTGCTTCTACCACTGAAATCTTTATTTACCCCAGTACCCAGCACTCAGAGGCCTCTAGTGGCGGTTTCCTCTCATTTCACATCTTTCTCTGTTGCTCTCCTTACTTTTGAGCTGACCATGATCAGATACTTTCATGTCACTTCTCTTGTGCCCTGGCATTCCTTTGGGTGGCAGATGGCTTCAGATTTCACAGTTATGCTTCCTCTGCTCCCCAGACCCACCAGTTTTGTTTTTCTTAGAACACAGGATCATCGAGGCTGGCACTACTTTGCAATTCTCACGCTGAGACATGGTCTAGTAAGAAGGCACGTGGGGAAAAACATTGTGGTGTTATTTTTCCTCTTATTAAGAAGTGGAGAAGGCACGCAGGATCACTCTTGAGGAGAAAAGACAACGCAGAAAGAATCGAACCTTGCAGAATATACCATCTAAGGAGTCTTTCTGCTGTGTCTTTTGCAACCGGACTTGCCTTTCTCGTATTGGCCTTTTTAGCCACCAACGCGCTTGCATGAAAAATGGGTAGAGCCCTTCCCAAATCTTCGTTCGCGAAGCCTAGCCATGATGAAGAAGTGGAGAACATGCAGTGAGCATGATGTTCTCATTTATCTATTTATGAGTAGTTCCTATTCAAAGGATTGTAAGAAAGAGTCAGGGAACATTGGACCAATTTCTATTTGATTACTCCTTGAAAAACTGGAAATTATCATGACGTAGTCCAATGACTTACTCTGAATTTACACCAGTGCCAACGAGAACATAATGTAGTCCATCAATTTTACATCACATCCCAATGGACATGGACAATATATGCAGTGTTAAAACCTATCTGAATGCTTATTAAGAGTCCAATAATAATGGTATTTACTGAGGATTACTTAAAAATGCATTTCCTTTCTTCACAACTTCCACGCTCTCTCTTTTGGTCTTCTGCGATTGACACTGAGCACCTGGGCCATAAAAATGGACTGCAATTGCAAAGTCTTTAGTGAATATTGTGAAGTATTTCACACTTCTCATTTTATTTGCCATAGTATTTTGCTGTCAGCTTAGACTTGCTCAGTCGTGTCTTTTTAACTCCAGAATGCACTACTATGTTTGGAAATATTTAATGTAGAGTTTTTAAATGAAAAGAATTCATAACACCCAACAATTATGTCATGAACCAAAATTTATTTTATCTATCTCCTTTATGAAAAGGATATTTTAGCCTGTTATGTTGATAATGTTGATAATAATTATTCAGTCTCTGCATTGACCTCATTAATACCACTCAGGGTGGTATTTGGTAGCTATTAATGAAAACTGTTTCACTTAAAGATCAGTTGCATAGCAATTTCTGTAACAAGCACAAATAGAAAAATGTTCTAAGTCCCTTATAAAGCTCCATCCAATTCTACTCATGCCACTAAAGATGATTCAGAAATTACTACACATTCAATCCAGGTCAGCTTCTGTGCTTGTAGCTTGCATAATCCTAAAGACCATACCAGTGCCCATACCTCACTTGATTCATATCACTGCTCCCACATAGCAATGCACTGCAACATGTACAATGTACTTGAAGCTGATGACCTTTTCACAAAAAAAATTAAAAATGAGAAGGAAAAAAATGTCTGTGTTTACAGTCAGAGGAGTAGAAAGCAGAAGAATGACATTACAGCATGAAACCTCCATGGAGCTGGAGGTAACAAGAGCTGCACCTTGCACTGAAAATTTCCTGAGCCTTCTCCCACTTATTTTCATCTCTGTAATATCCTAATGTGTTAGCTTTACAGTGTAGTATGCTGTCAGAGCATTGCAACAATTGCACTCAATGCCAGATGCTAAAAAATCTTCTCGAAAAATTACTAAATAAGGTATTGTGAATGTTCTACATGGGAAAAATAAGTACATTCCCTGAGCAGTAAGAATAAGGGAATTTCTTAGGTCTAATAGCTCTTTGTCAAATGCTTGTCTTTCTTTATGGTGATTTTCTTCCCTTTCATTTAATTTCTCCAACTATCTCAGCTTGATTTTTTTTCTTAAACTAAAATGATCTATAATTTGCTATCACTTTATTATGATTTGAGATTCATCTTGATCCATTTAGAGGAGTAACAACATACCAGGATTTCTGTATCTAGAAAAGAAACAGTATCAGAAGCTAATTACTTGGGACAAAATGATGCTAAGGGCTAAAAGTCGGTTGTTGCTGGATGTATTACTATATTTCCTGTATAAAGCATTGTTTTCCAGACAATAAAACACTTTCTGCAGGTTGCCATGATGACTAACTGCCCCACATAGTCTCTGGCCATGAGGAGAGCACTGTACTTACTTAGTGAATGTGGGCAAGGCCTAGCTATGAGGGGGGGCAAGTCATGGGTCCCAAAGGATTATGAGCCTAATGTTAGCATTCAAAGCTGGAACCCAAGACACATTTTTCCACACCCTGCACATACACAGTAGGCATGTCACTATAGGGGACAGGCGCTGCCATACAACCCCTCTACAGAGAGTGATGCATCATAGCCAGGGAGGCCCAGGCACAGGGGCACTGCAGCAGTAGCAGAGCAAGGAAACAAGCCAGTGAAATACATCCTTGATTATCTGGTCAATGTGAAGGACTCCTGGATGCTCCTGAAGCCGTGCAGTGCTTACTGTCACCTGGTCACAGTATGGCTTCAGAGAGAAAATGTATAAACTCTTTCCTACACATCTTCTATCTACTGCATTAGCTCTCCCATAGGCTGCCAAGATCACTTTATTTACTGTTTAAAGTCTTTAATGGAAATTGAAAAGTCTCCAACATCGTCACTAAAATGCACAGTGGGGACAAGCGGAAAAACTAAATTTATCACTGGAAAAACAAAGCCAATACTCTTGTGAGTGGTTGGAAATCAGTTTGGCACCGCAGTTACAGCACTTCAGTGTCTTACTTTTGCTATGAAAATTGTTTTTCTCTGTTTTCTTCAAGGCCAATCAGTAATCATTTGTTTTGTTGGGTGTGTTTTGGTCTGACAGTTTTCATGTTTCTCTCATTCACAGCCTGATTCCTCAGTTTGCTAAAGGACAGCTGATAAAACTCAGTTTCAGATAAACCAAAATTACATTTATGCCATAAATACCCTCTATGATTATGGGAAGACACAGTCAGTCTCTTTTCATTGGCAATGAAATCAGTGTATAAAGCATTCTTGAATATCATTGTTCATTGTTTTCTCAGGGGCATCATGCCAAATTCTCTTTTTTCAATACTGTCCTTATCTGAACCTTTAAACTCTTTCTTTTTAAATGATGAAAAGTAGTTCCCTGTATACCCTGTAAAATCCTCTGTCTCTCCTTGGGGTATCCATATCCACTACACTCAATAAAGAGAAGAGTGTAAGGAAGTATGTCATCTCGTGACCACAGCAGTCATACCAATTGCTGTGCTGGGATTTTTCCAGTCACTAATAATTTACAATGGATTCCCTACTCTTTTTACTTAGCTCCTAATAGTGTTCAGAAATGTCTTAGTTTATGGTCTGGAATATCAGAAGCCATTATAGTCAGATTGCATATTTCGGTGGTAAAATCACTAAAGATCTTCATCCTGAGGATGTACAAGAGATGTTACAGAATCACAGAATGGGTAAGGTTGGAAGGGACTATCGGAGGTCCTCTAGTGCAATCCCCCTGCTTAAGCAGGATCCCCTGGAGCACGTTACTCAGGATTGTGTCCAGATAGCTTTTACAAGACTCCACAATCTCTCCGGGCAATCTGTCCCAGTGCTCAGCCACCCCAACAATAAAGAAGTTCTTCCTAATGTTCAGGTGGAACTTCCTGTGCATCAGTTTCTGTCCATTGCCTCTTGTCTTATTGCTTGGCGTCATCGAGAGGAGCCTGGATCCATCCTCTTGACACTCTCCCTTCAGATACTTATAGACATTGATGAGGTCCCCTCAAACTTGCCTCTTTGCAAGACTGACCAGGTTCCCTCAGCCTGTCCTCGCAAAAGAGACACTTCAGTCCCTTAATCATCTTTGTTGCCCTTCTCCAGACCTGCTTCAGGAGCTCCATGTCTCTCTTGTACTGAGAAACCCAGAACCAGTTCCTTTCACAGCAACTACAAAGCACACTGAGCAACTAGGAATTTTAATTATGAATTAACAACCGAACCAGAGACTATACCAATGCTTCCAATTGGAGCTGAGAGTTTCCCTCAGCTGGAGGAAAGCTGGACCATGGGCGGGGGTCAGGCCATGCAAGTCACCATCCATCAGCATCAGGCTGTTTCTTTGACTCAGAGGGGCTTTGGAGAGCAGCAGCTAGGTTGTTTTCCCTTGACTTGAAATTCATATTAGGAATTATACTGAAAAGAGAACAACAACAACAACAACAAAGTTAGTCCATTTCTTTCAGTATGTTTTAAATTTATCTATACCCCATCATGGGGACCCCTGGTGGCCTAGTGGTTAGCATGCAGGACTCTCACCTCTGCGACCCAGGTTCGAATCCCAGCCAGTCCCCCGGGCAGATGGAGCCCGTTAGCCCTGTAAGGCCATCCATCTATGAGAAGGTCACTCTAAACAAACCTACGTCCTGAGGACTTCACTGCCATTGTCCAAGCTTGCTTGGCCCCGGCAGATGAACCTTAGGATTAAAGGGTGGGCTCAGTTCAGCGCAGGCTGTGTCTCACCTAAAAAATCCATTGCGCAGGCTGGAAAGGTAAAAAGACCTTTCCCCAAATCTTCGTTCACGAAGACTGGCCATTATTATTATTATACCCCATCATCATATTATAACCATCACAGTGTCACAGCAATAGCTGGATGGTGCAGGGTGGACAGACGAGGACAGCTCTTCCTTGCAAGTAGCTTTCATGAATCATTAGTGTCTTTCTTCTCTCTGTTTGTGCTGTATGAGTATTAATTAACTCCTCTGGTACCACTTTAGGGCAAGAAATCATTGCCTTCCATATGGAAATAGAGAAATGAAGCAGATTATGTGATTTGCCCAAAGCTAAAAAGAGAATTGTTATCAGCACGAGGAGGAGAACTGATAATTTTTCTTAGTGCCTGGTCCTGTAATGCAATTAACAGAGTAACCTTCTTTCCCCTCATCTTCTGCTGTGTTACCCTCCACCTGTGAATAGCACTGTCTCCAGCAGTGCTTGCTATCTGAAGCTGAATTTTACTGCTAAGATTAATTTCCACTCAACAGGATGACTCCAACCAATACATTTTTGCATCTAAGAGAAACATTAAAATCTACCTCTGATTAAAAGGGACATAAGAATCCCCTTAAACTGCAGCATGAGCTTGACACTTAAGTAATTTTCCAGGAACAAGCTGATGTTACAGCAGCATTTTTTGTGCCATCTAGTGGTTGCAGAAAATTAGATGCCAAGCTCTGACCCAGCATGCCACCCAGCATCAGTGCCACAGTAAATCTTTCTCCTGCTCTGAGAACCCCTGCCCCGCTTAGGGCTGCTTGTTCCTTTTTCTTTTGCTGCTCTGTGTTTCACTTGTGTGGCTGTGAGCTGTGCTGTTAAAAGTCTGGAAAGCTGCAATAAGAAGTGATCTGAAAACAGAGTTAAGTAAATGGATATTCTCAGGAGCACTCTCAGCTTACATATATGCCATGTTTCTGTGGAATATTGAACACTTCCTCCACTGCTTGGAGAGCGTGAAGGAAACTGTGGGGACCGAGGAAACAACCAATAAATAGTATAAGCTTATATACACAGAATATTAGTAACTTGTTTCTTGAGGAAAAGGACATAACTGGGTGCCTTAGAGAAGGTAAGTGGCTGCTCCACTGGGCTGACCCATCTGCGGGGAGGACAAGCAACACTCAGAGAGGAGCTCAGGGGTGGAGCTTGGACCTGGGGTTATTTTCAGCCATGTTTTTATTCGCTTCTCAAAAAACATAGATAGGGACTGATTTCTGCACATAGCCATGAACTTTGAAAGCACAATCAAAAGAAATATTCCCCTAGCAAGGGCAGTAAGGAAATTAATTAAGCATCATATATGCTTAATTAAAAACTGTCATGGATAGTTAAGGAAAGCCAGACAGCAACATCAGCAATAGTGATATTTTCCTACTTTTTATTTGAAACAGCACTACCTGCCTTCTTTAAAAATAAGCAAGTTGCTGAACAACAAGAAGAAACCAGAAATTTAGTATGCTTGAAATAGGTCAGCTCAATAGCTAAGGTCATGGCCACATAAATGATTTCATAAGGGATTTAAGGTGCTTCTAAGCTAAAACATTTTAGCTGAGAATAGTCATGAGAATAAATATGACAGTTCCCAATGCTGATAGGATTTAAGAATCAAAAAGCATGTTCATTTGTCACAGCTGACCTTAGTGTTACATAGAAAATTTAATACCATCTGCTAAGATAGTACTGGCCAAGTGAAGCTAAGCAGCTCACCAGACTTGGTCAACATTGTGTCATACTTTGTCTGTACACACATTAACACATTTGGTAAAAATATAACAGCTTGATGAGAAAAGCTTCCGTGTTTGGATTGGACTGCCTTTGACAATCCTTCAGCATCCCTGCGGCCCCAGCTCAAGCCAATGCCAAGTCCTTGGTAAATGAGCAGTCCAAAGACATTGAGTCCCCGCCACACTCCAAAACTCCTCACCCAGGGGCCACCCATCATGATTTCAGCAGCAGGACAGGTTCCTGCTCCTGCCCCAGCATAGGAGGGCTGCAAATAGATGGCCTCGTGCAGATCCAGTTGTGTTGACCCAAGTTTATCCCATGTGCTAGTTAGGGCTCCTCCACTTCCTGCCAGGCACAATGAACCAAAGCAACAAGAGCTCTCTTATTCCCGCTGGACAGGCCAACCTGGTTCATTTTGACTGAAAGAGGCCAGGAGACACACTTCAGAGCACTCAGGAGAGCTGACTGTGTGCCAGGGAAGACAGCATGGGCAGGCAGGTAGTGACCTCTCCAGCCATCACCCGACATGCATGTCTGCACCCTCTTTAAGCTGAAGAGGATCTGGGATGGCTGTGCCAGCAGAGCTGCGAGGGCAATAACCTCCAGCAGTGTGGCTTGTAATCTTCATCTGGCACAGCTCTCTACAAATAGAACATCTGCCCACAGCCTAAAGAGATGTTTCAAAACTGATTAAATTAGACCAGCACAGGCACCCATCTGGATACTTTTACCGCTTTGGCTCCCATTCACCTTGCAAACAACAACGATGGATAAAAATCGCTTTCACCTGCCCCAGTTGCAAAGTGGCCAGAAGGAAAGGAGGATGCATCAGCCATGCTAGAATCTTGAACTTTTGACAAGTGTGTCTGGTGAGTCCTGATGAGGTGGTTTATGAAGTTGCCACCTGAGATCTCCTGCCCAGTGTGGCCACAGCTGCAGAAGGGGCAGTGGGAGGAATGTGTTCCTGCAGCCATGCAAAGTCCAGTGTCTCAGCTCAAATGGGTGATTTCAGTGGGTCCAATGAGTTCAGGAATGGTTTATACTGCACCACACCCTGGTCATTTACTGCGTGAGAAACCTTCCCTTATCCTTTTGGCTCTTATATTCCCCTACACAACAGTACTGGATAACAAAGCATGTAAATGCTCCTGACATAATTTAATGCAGTGTTGAATGGGTTAAACAGCCTACAGAAGTGGCAAATCTACAAACAAAGGGAGCCAAAGCAGAACCGCAGCAACAAACTGCAGAGGGATAGTTACATTTTAAATAGGTACACACGTTTCTGCAGCAAGAGACTAACTATATCCTTAGTTTTTATAACTCCTTATGCCAGCTTAGGCCAGATAAAAGTAAATGGATTGATTCTAGATGAATTAGAATGTCCTCTAAGGATCTGGTATTTATCTAACCAAATTATTTGAAGATAAACCAGTGCAAGTTTTGTGCATAAACATTAGAAAAACATATCATACAGCTTAAAAGAAAAACAAAATCATCTATGACAACTGAGAGCACCATTGCCTTTTCAGTACCATTTGGAGTCTGCAGATAATGCAGGTCTCTAAAAGATTTTTCTAAACTCTTAATAAAAGCCTACAGTTTACATTACTTTTAATGTACCTCTTACTTACTATCCCATGCTAAAATCCTTTTTAAGAAAAACAATTGGAATTTTAACTAGTTACAGATGATAGAGATAAAATTGGTCTTTACAAATCTGTATTTACAATAGGATTTTCAAGGAGAGCACTGTTTATATTTCCTAATGTTATCCAGGCTGTCTATTTGTAAATAAGAGTCAAAGGTTTACAAGTTTTAGGCTGCAATAAAAGTAAATCAGAATGAGGGAAGACCATGAGCAATGAAACCCCCTGATATGCTGGAGCTGCTTTATCCAACTGGATAAAAGATCAGACAGGCCACAGCAAGGGGCAACAAATAAGCTGAAGGGAACAGATGCCCTTCAAAAAATTTCTGTTGTTTTTACAGAGAGAATAGTATTGGTAACTCATCAAATGGTCAGATTGGACTTCATGTGCCCTTGGCCTTTTCCTGGTATTCAGACTAGACCAGGATGGTAAACAGGCATGTACACAATCAGACAGGGAGGTCTCAGGGTTCATGAGCTGTCTGCTGTTTCTGGGAAGTGGTACAAGGTGATGGGTAAGAGGGATGCTGCACAAAGCCTCCATTTGGCCTCTGCCTACTGTAATTTTAGCTGCTATTGCAGGTGAGAAGGCTGAGGAGCCTCAGCCATGTTCTGCTGCTCCCCATATGATCCTGTCCACTTCCCACTCTCAGAACGCATATAGTCTTCCCAGCGCACAAGCTCCCCTTTTGTTTACCACAGGGAGACTTGCACAACCTCTGGCTACATTCACTATTTCCTCTGAGATATTAGAAGGAAGCTGAGCATCTGTAAACAGCAGCGGCATCGTGTCTATGCCATTCACTACACACAGCAGACCTTGGCTGCCTGTCTGCCTCCGGCTCTTCGTGCTTTTGGACAGGGAATGAGCTGCAGAGGCCCTGGCTCTCCCCAGGCCTCACTGCAGCACCCGTCAACAAGGCAGAAACATGAAAGGTTTAAAAAACTATAGAAAAAAGGAAGCCCATAGCTAAGAGATGAAACTCCAAACCAGAACAAACTCTTTGGTTAATGGGATCCTTGTTTTTGCCAAACCCACTATGTTTGCTAATATGCAAGGCTGAGTTATTGCTGCCCTCTCTCCACAGCTGAGGGTCCCTGGAGAGGAGGCTGTTTTGGCTGCCATTACTTCTGCACAAGTGGTACCACCTGCACAGCACCTCAGTTTCCAGGGCCCAGAAGAGAGGACTAGCCTTCAAAAGCCCACAATTTAAGAGAAGACAGTGACAGCGAGTGGGGCTTGCAACTATGCCCTACACCCCATGGCCTTTCAACAGGTCCCCCCTCTGTAACTGCTGGCTTACTGCCAGGGAGAGGTGATTATGACATCTAGGCTCATCACAGCTTCAAAATTCACAACAACAAAGTCTCTACTTCTGGCAGGAAAAACAAGTTCCATGTCTGAGATTTCCTTTTCCCAGCCTTTTTCCAACTCAATCAGCTGTAGCATCATGCAGAGGAAACAATCCTTCACATTGCCACCTCCCTGCCACCACACAGCTCTTTAGACAGGTACCCCTTTCTGCCCCCTGTGGACATCGTGGCAATCTAGAGGGACATATAGAGATACACCAGGGTGGCTCAGGCTTCCCCTGGGCTTTGAATGCTGCTGTATCTCTCCTTTCCCCTCACCTCCAGCCTCACTCTCTGGCAATTAAACTGAAAAACCCACAGCACAACCAGTGGACAGGGAACAAAGGAAAAAGGGTCTTTTCCCTATATGTCCATTGGGAGCAGAACAGATTTTGACTTTTGGGCTCCTGTTGCTGGGAAGAGAACTCAGCAGTGTCAGGAGCCCAATGAGGATAGGGGAGTTCTGTGCTGGCAGGCACAGGAGGAGGAGGAGGAAAACCACTCTGACAAGGAATGGCAAATGTCATCATCCTGTAACCCAGCCAGAGCTGTGGCTGTGAGGACATGCCTTCATCAGTCACACCGCTGTGTAGAGTTGGCTACTCATGGAGAGTAAAGCAAGAGCCTGCACAGTCTGACAGTCTGAGGTTAAAACAGACAAATAAACAAACTTGATTATGAATAATAATGAGACACATCTGTATTAAGAAATCATGATTGTTTTGTTAAAAGTGTGCCAATGAAAGCAGTATTTTATAGAGTATTTGAAAGACTGTCTTTTGAGTTGTCTGTAGCAAACACATGAGAGTTTATGCAGCTTTGATGAATTCAAAAGGCTTTTTTTCTTCCTCTAAAAGCTGCCGATGTCTCCTAGAAAAACATTATGTTTACTTTTTACTACTTTCCTTGGCTTTTAAGTCTAGCAGAATGACGATCACTACAATGGGCAGAGGCCAGATAACACAATGACAGGCAGCTGCAGTTTTTGCAGCTGTACTGCATTTTTGTTAGAGATGATGGGTTTATGCTGACTTGAGGACATAACATGAAAACTGTTCTTGTGTGCTATTCAGAATCTTGCTTACTAACGTTAATACCCCACAGAAGAGTGGATGGCTCTTACATTTTAGTGGACCATATAACCACTGGAGTTTTTAGTTGTAAATTTATGATATTCAACAAAGAAAAATCTGAGGCCATCATAATGTTACTGCTTTTCTGAGAAAGATAACATACTAATGAGCAGATTAATCACTGTCCCTTATAAAGCAAGAAATAGAAGGAATCAAACTAAATTATTAGCTAAAAAGATTTAAGGGAGACAAAAAGGTTTAAGGGAGACAAATGCATGCTGTGTATAATTATTTTAACAAATTTACCAATTATAAGAAATGTTGTGAAAAGCCAGAGTTTAAACTCTGTCCAAGTTTATGGATAAAGAGTCCAGCAAAGTTGATAAGAAAGCAAGGACTCAGAAAATATTTCCAGTTTGGAAGACCTCAGTTGCAGAGCACTGGAACCAGGAAGATAACCTCCTGGCAAGCATTGCTGTGCTTCCTACATCCTTGTGAAGAGCCCAAGAGTCTGCTACAGGGCACTGCCCAAGAGCGAGGGTGCAGGGCTGGAAGTGCTTTTGATCGTATTTACCAGAATCCTTCATATGTAACATTGATCCCAAAATAGAGACATAATGAAATGACTGTTATGGATGATTTCATAATTGCCCCAAGAGAACAAGTTGGGACACCAATTAATTTTATTGAGAAGGAACAGCAGTGGCTTTTGAACTTCTGCAGAGACCTAGTTTCCTGCATTAACAAAATAAGTAGAATAAATAAAAACTATAAAAGAGAAGCTGTGCCAACAAAATTGTCTCCGAATGAAGTGTTTTGGTGTTCCCTCCCATGAGCTGATAAATTCATTAAACTTATTTTTTTAACTTTACAGTGTGTATACATATATATATACTTGCACATACATACACTTAAACTTTCCCAAAGACAGAGGAAAAACAGAAGCCTCATAAGAAATCAGTCTCACAATGAGAAAGGGAGAATTCTAAGCAGGAAAGACACGACTTTTGAGCATAGAAGAGTTTTCAATTGCAGTTATCCTGTTTGGGACATAATGTGTATTTTAAGCAATAAACAAAATTACACATATCAGAACAGAACTTTCTACAATGCCCAATGAAGATACCTACAACAAAGATAAAACCAGCTTATTGCATGCAGGCTTACTGTTTATCAGCTAGAAACAAATCTAAGTACATCGTTAATTCAGGCCACCAGAGAATAGATCTGTATTAAAGAAAATTAACTCCATCAGTCAAAGTCAAATAGAAAAAAAATCTCTAATAATATCTTTGACATAAAATGTATCCACCATGCTCCAGGGCCTTGAAGAAAAGCTAAGTGAAAACGAGACTCCTTTGACTGGTAAATGTAAAGATGTGCACACACACATGCACACACACACATATTTGTCTGTGATGAAATTATGCCCTGGCTGAGGGAAAAGCAACTGCCTGAACTGATCTGAAAGGCTTTAAATTATAATAATTTTTTTCAGTTTTATATCTTGATTCAATGCCATAAAACTTAAATGGTTTTATCACTGAAAGGAAAGGTCATTTTAACCAAGGCAAGAGAAAGCTTCTCCATGTTTTATGTATTTTCAACTTTATTTGCAAGTCAATACATTCTGAATCTCTGTAGGTTTCCATTAAAGTGGAAATTGCAAAACCCTTTACCCTGATGAAAGCTTGAAGCTGATATGCTCTAAGCCCTGCATGACTCCTCTTTTTTATATATATTTTATTTGTATTAATAATTATGTAAGGAAATTTCTGGGGCACAGATCATTAGAAGTGATTCTGCCATACTGCTTCTCTCAGACTAGCCAGAATTTCTTAAGAAATAAATTTAAATTGAGGTTACTGTTTAAAATTCAAAAAGGCTCATGGCAGACTGCTGCCATGGACTTGCAACTGCAAAATAACATTGAGTTTATTGTCATCATTGTAAATTATATTTGTAGATACTTGAATAAGGAGCTTGAGCAAAACTCCAGACCCTACAATAAGGCAAAGTTATATTCACTGATTACGGAATCGTGAAGACGGTTGTCTATAATCCCTTCTTTTTAAGAAATATGCCTACTTAGGCATAACCCAGTAAGTACCACTACCCTGGGGTGTGTTTGCACTGCAGGTGCACCCCAAGACTGTGTCACCTGTGGATATGACTGTGTGCCACATATGTGTCCTGTTATTCCTGTGGTGCTGTGTCTGGGCAATCCAGCTGGTACCCACCTGGGCCCCACAGCCTGGGGTCCACCCAAATGTGCCTTTGCTGGCTGTGCAGACCAAACTCAGCACGCTGCTGCATTTGGGTCAGATGGCTCCAGCTATGCTATTTGCTACACAGGGGCATCTTAACCAACATGGGGAAGATCAGCTGGACTGGGGATGTTCCAGGGTGACTCTAACACCTCGTGATTCAAGGTTAGGTGGGACTTGTTGACAGACAGAGATCAAGGGAAATTAAAGTGAAAATGAGATTAAATTGGTTGCTAAACACTCTGTGACCTTCAGACCATCTGGGAATGCCCACTTAAATCCCACGGAGACTGTTCTGAGATCATCCTGAGTCATCACACACACATGCAAAACAAAGTCAAGGCAAAGCCTGCTCTTACCAGCCAAAGGCCAGACTTTCCTAGTGAAGAGTGGCATGATGACTGACAGCTGCAGTTTTTTCGTGCTATTCCCTGGAGGAACCCAAGGAAACAAACACTTCGCAGATAGGATGGATTTCAAAAGAAACCAGTCCAGTTATTGTTGCAATAACTTAAGTGAGAAAACACCTTCTGTTACGGAGTCAGAAATGACCGGTTATCAGATGCTAGACCTCATCACCACTGTAATGAAGAAGCTGAAAGAATTATGCTGACTTCATCCATTTTAATCTCTCATGAGAGAATTGATTTGAAATACGAAATGGCAGTTCACAATTACTCAAGAGAAGCAGAATCTGGAAAGAATAACCTGCTTTTACATTCACAATATTATCCCTGATATTATTGATGTTTTTGTTTTACTGATGAAAAAATAGGAGCATGTAAGATTAAATAATTGGCATGGAATAGACATTTCTGGTCAAGGAACAGAAATTAGATCTCCTGAAGGAAAATTCTGTGCTGTGTTCTCTTTCTTCCTCTCTGTGAATTTGATCAAATGCCACTAATAAGAGAGAGATTTGCATTTGATTTCAGTATGTACAGAAGCAGGCTGACAAATTATTATGTGTATCAAATTGAAGTTATCATATCACAGGGAAAACTGTCATTCTTCTAAGTGAATTTGTGTCAGATAAATTTGCGTCAGACAAATTTATGTCAAACAAAAGAATACAAAGCTCTCCTCTCCTCTCAATGTCTTATGCTTATTAAACTCTTTTTAAAGACTTACCAGGATATATTGGAATTAGGATATATATATATATTAGACTAGAGCAGTTAGCTGAATAGATGCATAGACTTTCCAGAGTTCTATATAACAGCATGAGTTTTTACTTTCAAGGTTTGTACAAATTAGAAAACAAATAAATGAGATAGTTCTTTCTTTTTCTTCCAAGCTTTTTACTTGGAGATTTAAAGCTGCCTGCCTGAATTGTCCAAGTCAGAAATACAGAGAAAAAAATTAGTGTCAGTGTTACTTCAAAAAGAAAGAGGTCTTAAAACAGATTTTAGATTTAACAATGCGTTGTAAGAACAATCCAAATATTTTTTTCAAATAAGTAAGCTTGACACTTGCATCTTCACAATACATGGGAAGTCATGTATTAAACTCTAAACAGCTTGGACTGAGACTCAGCAAATCCAAACAGTCCAACACAGAAATGGTTCTCATCAGGAGACTGATGAAAGCAAGACAAAATTCTGAAGGACACAGGTTGGCTATGTGGCTCAGTGAATGCCTCAATAAGAAGAGACATAAGGATCCATATGGTATTAACAGACCTTTGAATGCTTTGTGCTGAAAATTGTTGTTTCCATATGCGTAGAGTGGACTCATGCTGCCAGACTGGGATCACAATGGTTTTTTTCTCTTTGCATAAGTACAACCTGTCAGAGCCATGAGGTCACTGACATCCCTGAAATCCCTGCCAGACTCTCCTGGGATGTCCCATTACCTTGCCCATGGTCCAGGACCCCATTTCAGCCCAGCTGACCCACATCCACAAGCTGATATCGTGGTCTGGCCTCAGATGCAGAAGGTGCCTCTGGCTGCCTCCAGGCTGCCCTGGTTCCTGCTGGGGTGATGGGATGGTCTCTGGCTGGTGAGATCCTGCCCTGCTACCCAGTTCCCTGTAAGTTCTATCACTCACAGACCAAGGGAGGAGCCAGACCTTACCCAACACAAACACCTCCACAAGATATAAAGTTGTAGAACAACAACTCAATCAACTAGAAATGCAGGTCCTGTGTGAGTGCTTGCTGGGCACCAATGGGGTGCCAGAGGGTGGGCTTGGGTGGAGCTAGCACTCTTGTGAAGTCTGATGGGAGATGGGATGCATTGTCCCTTCTGCTCTTCTATGGAAACGGAAGTCTTTGTTTCAGTAAGAAGACTCAGAATTTAAATGGAATTTTATTTTACAGCTACAAACTGTTTAGAGCTGTCTTTCTAATGTGCATGCCCTTCAGTCTCACAAAGAGGTCAACCTCCCTGAAAATAAAAGGTTTGATTTAATCAGGAAGAAACATACTTTAAAGACCTGCTATTACCCAAAAGCAGACATGACATAAATTTCATTCTATTTTTATGTCTTCCTGGCTCCAGTCTCCTGAATCTGACATTAACCATAACAATCACACATGTGGCTAAACAGGGCCAAATTCTCCTTTTTTTTAATTCCAGTATAAATATGGAAGTAATACTGTTGAAGTAATAGCTTTGAGGTAGGCTCTCTCCACAAGAACAGGACTTTTCTCAGAACAGTCACAGTCAGGAAAGTATGCTGATTTTGAGGCCAGATTTTTACTGACAAGTTAGGGATCTAGAGTGGGGGGAGACCACCAGGGTTGACATGAGAGCCTGGCAGTCCCAGAGGCCAGGGACAGAGGCTAGTGCAGGTGGCATTTTGAAAAGCACATGAGGCTTCAAAGTTCTCATGCCATTTTCAAAATGCCTTAGGCTATCAGAAGTTCAAGCTCCACTGATTTACAGTAAAACTTAAGCATTTAAATGCATTTATCCTTTGTGCTGATGAGACATGGCCACCAAAGATTCACACCTCTGTGAGATTTAGATTCACGGTCACAACTTCTCCCTTAAGTTTGACTTCAGTTTCATGTTTCTTTGCTGCTCTTGAACATGCCAACATTACACTGAAGGTCAGAAGATGGAGACCTTGCAGATAATTTTGGGCAGGGGATATTGCAGTGTCCTGTGGATGTAGTCCTGCAAGAAAGCTATCAGCATTGGCATGGCTACAGGTTGCTCAGGCATTGAGCCATGTGAGATGTGCACAGCCTGGGTCTGTGTCACCCAGCTAGGCAAAACTTCCAGTTTTCCTCCTGGAAAACCTAAAGGTTTGCTGTGTTGCAAGAGTACCCTTTGTACACCTAAAAACATTGCTGACTTTACTATGACCATTTGCAGTTTGAAAACATTTACTTGTGTCAAGCTGACACCCTCTTCCATGTACAGCAGAACAGGAACAAGAGGTTGCCACTCAGCTGAACATGGCTGCTCCCTGCCCTGGATCACAGCCTACACTACTCCTCTGTGGGAGAAGTTTATGGGAGCTGTCCCTAGCTTTTTTCAGGGAAAATGAACCAGCTTAGTCCTGCCAAAGCATTTAAATTGCTCCTTTGGTCTTCTCCTAGTTTGATGCAGAATATAGTCCCTGGCTGGATGCCAGCTTTTCCGCAGGGTTCCCAGAAAGGTACAGTGCTGGGGTGATATCATTTGATGAACTTCCAGAAGAAAACAATCTGCTGGGGGAGGAGTGCCTCTTTGAGGGTCTGGAAGCTTTCTTCTTCTCATGTTATCTTCTTAAATGGTGAACACTGTTCTTTGGTGCAATATGCGGTACCAAGGGAGCAACTGGGTGAAGGACAATCCATCTTCAGAAGTGTCTGTGATCTAATAAATGATATTTACCTTGTGGGGATGAGAACCAAGTCATGCCCAGGGACTACAACATACTCAGCTGTATATTCAGCAAAGTTCCCAAAGTTGTTCTCACTTTGCTGGCTGGTCCTCATGAGTCATATCTCTGCAAAGTCGTTGCTCTCACAATGGTAGCTCTTTATGGACTATTGCTTAAGAAGCCCAGGTGCAAACACAAATGAACACAAGGCACAGGGCAGTGGAAATCTTTCCCCTATAACTCGTGGCAATAAGCTATGATTTTCTTCTTGTTTGTTCCCATGTACCTTGCAGTCTGAAATTTTGTTTTTTCACCTTCTGTTTTTCTTTTCTTTGTGACGTCCAAAATAGCTTTCCCAATCTGTTCTCTATTTCTTTTCTATCATCACAAGGTTGGTAAAGCAAAACGATCCAAGACAGGAGATGGAAATTTTCCCAATAAGGGCTGCAGTAGAACTAAGAAGAGAAAGCCTGCTTGAATTGAAAGGCACTCCACAGGAGATGGGCACATTGCTGTAGGCATCTATTCACATCTTTAGATGCCTACATGCTTTCATATGCTTTATTCTAGTTCAGATTCATAACCAACCCTTCAAATTGTAGGTCCTCCCTGAAGACAGTTTCTGATTAATGGCTCTTGTCTCATTTTAAGAAAATGGAGAAAACCTTTTAAAGGAGCTTGTTCCTGACATGGAGGGACACTCATATCCTGAGTCTTACAGTGTTATATCCTGGCCATTTTTCACTACATTGCAAGCAAACATTTTATCCTCTCCATGTTACTTGCCAGCTGTAAGCAACTGGCCTTGTTTCTCGGCTCTCTGTCAAAACAAATTCTATCAGGTATTATTTATTTGTGTGTTCTGGCACAGCTGGCAGTGAAACTGCTTTGCCTGCCAGGATTCTTGTTAAAATGTCCCCCAACTGAGTCAAGCTACCTCACCAACACACCTTGACCAGATTCTAGGGCATTTTTTGGAAAAACAACCTTTCAAATAATGGGAACACCTGGAACCAGAAAGACTACGTTTCAAGTCAAACACTGAGATATAAAATTGTTCCCACTCGTTTGATATTTTGAAAATCAAACACATTGAACTTCTGATCTTTCTTATAAGTGCTCAATTTTTTCATGAAGACTTGAGACATGGCTAAAGAATCTGACTGCATTCAACATAGTTATGAAGGAGACTGTTCAATCATGACTGAGTACAAACTTAAATGAGACTGTTAAATGTCAACACTGCTAATGGGGTCTTTAAAGATTGTTTTCTCAGGAGTGTTTAACTAATGTTCCTTCCCACTGGCTGACTGATTCCTTTGGGCACCACCAGCCAGTCCAGCACTGGGAATCAAAAGTTCAGACTGCTCAAAAATTTTCGGGTCACTCTCCCCTTCTTATACAAGGGAAGCAAAGACAATGTAAAGCCACATGAAGATTGCTGGATTGTGTAGATAACCCCAGGAGTGTGGTTGTGGCCAGCTGTGGTCTTGATTCCTTAGAGTAAGGTGTGGTCTTAACGGGTGGAGCTCTGGAAGTCCAGCATAGCTGCCATAACACAAAACAAGCTGGGAGACGCATAAAGCTGCAGCCAACTGAAGGTGGATGAAAAATGTAAAAAAAAAAAGGGGGAGAAAAAAGTCCACAATTAAGACTCGTATTTTAAATGGCACAAAAATCATACTCTGCAAAGAAACTGCAGAGTCTAGTGTGCTAAACCATAAACCACTGTTTATGAGGCTTTGTAGAAAGGTCAGTGGTGGTGGTAAATTTACTGGCAGGTTTGAAACCTTCAGGCATGTGGACACAATTGACTTTCATGGATCATGTTTAGAGAGGGAGAAGACAGGCATAGCCAATGAGATTTCAACCAAATTTTTGAAGTTGTCCCCCTCTGCTTCTCATCCTAACTTATTACCTCCTCCTCCACCTTGTTTCTCCTGCCACAGCTACTGGACAGGAGAGCCAGGGAAGGTCTGTACATCTCACAGTGGGGGTTCAAGGTAGCAATGTGAGGTAGTATAGGCCTTTGCTTTTGGACAGCCAGAGAAGATATAGACTACCTACTTTGTTCTTCACCACTAGTCCATTGCCAGTGCTGCAACAGAAAAAGCCCACAAGCATCACAGCTTCTCGTCTACATCTTCTTGCACAAGGAAGTTGAAACACACCCTCTTCTACTGCTCAAACAGCTGTGCATATGTATTGGAAGAGAACTAAAAGCTAGCAAGGAAAGTAAGAACACAGCCAGGATAACTTGTGACTAATAGCTATTGGCCCTTGTCCCAGCTTTTATTTATAACAGATTCACGGGAAATCTTCTAGGATTGTTTCAAAACAATGCCAATTAGTAAATTTTAGAATTAGCTCTGCATAGTTGGACAAGGAAGAAAGATTAGATCATATACCAGGAAGTCTCAAAACTGGGAATTTGCTACAACCCCTTAATTCCTAAATTTAAAAAACTGTTAATGACATAGTCTGATTATACCAGTACTGAAATGAGATTTCCCAATGTCTTGATGTTAAAGACCCTCTGCCCATCACCTAGCTTCAATGGGAATGCAACTTACAGAGTATGTTCTCAAGGTAGAACATATAATCGTGGAATTGTTTGCGTTGCAAGGGACCTTTAAAAGTTACTTAGTCCAACCCGGCAATCAGCATGGACATTTTCAATTAGATCATGTTGCTCAGAGCACCATCCAACCTGGCCTTGAATGTTTCCAGGATTGGGGCATCCACCACCTCTCTGGGCAACTTGTTCCAGTGTTTTGCTACGGTCATTATAAAAAATTTCTCCCTTATATCTAGTTTAACTCTACCCTATGTTAGTTTAAAGCCATTACTCTCGTCTTATCGCAACAGGCCCTACTAAAAAGTCAGTTGACATCTTTCTTATAAGAGCTCTGTTTAAGTCCTGACTCTCTCAGCTTGTCTTCATAGGAGAGGTGCTCCAGCTCTTTGATCATCTTTGTGGCCCTCCTCTGGACCTATTCCAACAAGTCCATGTCTTTCCTGTGCTGGAGACCCCAGAGCTGGATGCAGCACTCTAGGTGGGGTCTCACCAGAGTGGACCAGAGTGGTAGAATCACCTCCTTCGACCTGTTGTCACACTGCTTTGGATTCTTTAGACCTGCCACCTTAACTACAGCACGGTACTAGGTCCAGAATCGCTTTTTAGTGTTTTTCCAATATCAGATGAATGAGATGACCTTTTGAACAGTGATGGAACAAAGGAATCAGCCACTCTCACTTAGAAAATGTATTCCAGAAATCACTCTGAACAATCTGGTCCAGTGAAAAGTATCCCTGCCCATGGCAGGAAGGTTGGAACTAGCTGATTTTTAAGGTCCCTTCCAACGCAGACCATCCTATGATTCTATGATTAGAATTGATCATCATGTCCATCGTTTTCCAGTGAATGCCTTGATGTGCACTCTTGCTCTGTCTAGTAGATTTGAAATCTATTGAAATGCCATTTCCTACACTTGGAATAACATTATTCTAACCCTGTGTTCATATAATTCTTCTTATTATTTTTGGTGATGGTTATGATGAAGATGACTCTTATTGTTGTAAAGAATGTGCTTTTTCTGGCTTTCAGTATTTGGAAAAATACATTGAACTGTTCAAATTTTGCTTTTCCCCGGAGAAAAATTACTTGGCAGATATAAATCACTTTGTTTCCTTCCCCCAGTTTATGGACAAAAGTCTGTATCTTTGAAAAGGACGACCAGAGGTCAAGAACAAAGTGTAATTTATGACTCACTTTCTGCCTACCAGTTAACTCTCTGACAACAAATATTTCAGTGCAACTTAGGTGACTCTTGAGAAAGTGATCTGAGAGGTCTATTACACCCTCTAACTTCATAAGCCCGTGTGAACTGAAATCTCTGATTTTGGCCTCCTAATTTAGCCTGAAATTAAAAAAAAACATGTATGTTCTTATTCACCTTTAGCATTACAATGGTGCTTTTAGAGCACTCACTGGGAAACAAGGGGCATGGGTTCAACACTGCACATCCTCCCTTGATCTGAGGAGATTCACACTTACCGAAGACCTGCAATAACAGAAAGGCACCTTCCCCCCTCTTTTAAAACAACTACTCCTATGCATGAAGAAATGGAAGAGTCTGAAGTCAAAGGGCAAGAGAAGTTTTGATTCTCTGGCCTAATGCCTGGTTTCCTGATTGTCATTTGTTGTCTACCACTGTTGGAAGCAGGACTAAATTCAGTCCTGTAAACATCATCACCTGAACATTATCCTCAATATCTCCCACTCCAGCTCTCTTTCCCTTCCTGCAGTCCCACCATTCTGTTTCACAGAGCCATCACCCCTAAGATCCCCAAGCCATAGCTGAAAGCTTCAGTATTCCCCTCTATGCCTCCTTCATAAATTGGTTGTCCAACCACAACGCCCCAGGCATCTAAGGCACATTCCTATCTCAACAACCCCGTTACCCTCACCTTCCCCAAACGACCTTTTTCCCATGCTCTTTTCAGAAATACATGTCCCAGACTAATTAATTTCCTGTAGGCACATGAGAGGAACAGCAGGGGAGGTCTGGGAGCTGGAGACAGATTCACACATCAATAAGTTATCGGCCAGCCAGTGACAGGAGCAGCTGTGTGATGGCACTCACTCTGATTTGTAAAAGATCCTGGACATAGGCAAAACCAGCAGTTGTTGAGACTGTTTTTGCTTGGATTACAAGCAACACAGTGTGGGAACACCTGGCCTACTGATTCAGACTTTCATCTGGCAAAGGGCAGGATTTTTTTCCAGTCCTGGATCCTTAGCTTGTGTCTGCTTCTTATCCATGAGCTTTGTGTAAAATGCATATGCAGCCTTAACCATGAACTCCCCCCAAGCTGTTCCCTCCTGGCTATGTGTTTAAAGTTGTTCTCTGCAGAGAGCTTTGTTGTCCCTGATTTAAGTCGTATGAAAATCCATAAGCTTTATTTGGGTATGCTCAGTAGTACATCAGAGTAAACGTCACTGTGAAGTTTGTCCTTGTAGCTAACAACTGCCTTGGAGTTATCTTTTGCTACTCTGCTGTAATGTTAAGCATTCATATGTTAATCCACTTGTGGAGGCTGTTGTGCCTGACTGTACTCTAAGGCTCTATCAAATGATGGCAAAATCAATAGTTTGGTTTCTGCCAATTTGATGCAAGGTGCTCAATATGAAAAGCAAAATGTATATCGCTAAAGAGAATTTTGGAGCATCGTTTATTTCTCCCCAACTAAAATATTTTCATGTTTTTTCCTGCATTACCACTTATACCAAGACAGTTTCTAATTTTCTGTTCTGTAAAACAGAAAAGATTCTTCTTAAAGACTGTGTATACGTACATGTATGTGTATAAGCTAGTCTCTTCCCTGATGAATAGATCTGACCAGGACATATACCTGTTGAAATTTACTTATGAACTGCAAATAAATGTAGTGGCTTGGGGTTTTAAATCAATCAGTCACTACCAATCAGTATCAGAAAGAAAGGAATGAGAACAACAATTTCTAGATCAATTTACTGTGCAATTTCTTTGACTCTGAGCTTGAGAATGAATCTGGCAACCAGTGGTGTTCCCCAGTGCTCAGTGTTGGGGTCAGCCTTGTTTAATATCCTCATCAGTGATCTAGACAAGAGGACCAAGTGCACACTCAGTCACTTTGCACATGACACTAAGTTGGGCGGGACTGCTGATTTCCTGTAGGATAAGAAGGCTGTGCAGAGGGATCTGGACAGGCTGGATCGATGGGCAGAGGCCAACAGTATGAAGTTAAACATGGCAAAGTGCTGAGTCCTGCACCTGCGTTACAACAAGAAGCCCACGAAGCACTACAGGCTGGTGCAGTGGCTGAAAAACTGCCCAGTGGAAAAGGACCTGGGGGCACTGTTTGACAGCAGCTGACCATGAGCCAGCAGTGTATCAAGGTGGTCAAGAACATCAAGGGCATCCTGACTTGTATCAGAAATACTGTGGCCAGCAGGATAAGGGCAGTGATGGTCTCCCCGTGCTCAGCGTTGGTGAGGCCATACCTTGAATCCTGTGTCCAGTTTTGGGGCCCTCACAACAAGAAAGACATTGAGGTGCTGGAGCATGTCCAGAGAAGGGCAACAGAGCTGGTGAAGGGTATGGAACTCGTCTCATGAGGAGCAGTTGAGCAAGCTGGGGTTGTTTAGCCTGGAGAAAAAGAGGCTCCAGGGAGACCTTATTACTCTCTACAACTCCCTGAAAGGAGGTTCTAGCGAGGTGGGACTCAGTTCTCTTCTCCCAGGCAACAAGTGAGAGGATTACAGGAAATGATGCCAAGTTGCAGCAGGTGAGGTTTAGATTGGATATTAGGAAAAATGTCTTCATGGAAAGGGTTGTCAAGTATTGAAACAGGCTGCCCAGGGAAATGGTGGAGTCATCATCCCTGGAAATGTTCAAGAAAAGTGTGGATGTGACATGGTTTAGTGGTGAACATGGTGATGGTGCTAGGTGGATGGTTGGATGTGATGATCTTATCTTAAAGGTCTTTTCCAACCTTAATGATTCTATGATTCACTGTAAAAAAATGTAAGTTGCATTTCACACAATCACTCAATCTCCTATTCTATTTCTTCTTTTTTCTCCCCACAGAAACCAGCAGACTCTGATTTCCTTGAATGCTGTAAATTATCCCTGAAGGAATGGACAACTCCAACAAAAAACCACACACAAATTTTCTGAGAAGATAGCACAGGAACTAGAAAAAACAGGTTGACTTGCAGATTCTCACCTGACCCATGACTGACTCTCTGCTGATGCAACACTAAACTAAGACACCTTTGTACATCAGGTACTGCAACCCCTCAGCATGTCACTGTTTGTACAGTGACTTTTCTTTAGTATCCCAGTATACAGTGGAACAGAGAAATCTAATCTCCATTCAATAGTTTATGAAAACAACCAACTATATATAAAGCTTTAAACAATTTTCTTGCAAGACATTGCAATATTGTTCATTTCATATGACAGGGCTTAAAAAAACCTGTTAGCAGCCCATTCACACTCCATCTGTTCCCCTGCAGGGCAGATGCCTTATTCCATCCGACTGACTAGGGTGAAGTGGTTATTTCTGCTGTTTCCAACCAGACACTGAAGCTGCCCTCTCTTACTGCCATCCTTTCTGCAGGTTCAGCAAGTTTCTGCTACAGTTATCTGAGTTGAAGATTCATTTACCACAATAAGGGCAAATTTCAAAATTAAATGAAGTTATAAGCTTTATCCTCACTAGAAGAGACTGTTCCTACAGGCATATCCTCCTAGCACAGACATAACTCCCTCAGCAAGAGGGCTTTTCTCTGGAAAGCTTGTGTAGGGCCTAAAGACAAAATAAACATAGGCAAGCAAAGGACTTTGAATTGGAAAATCCAGATTCTTTTTTTCATGTGTCAACATTTGGCCCAAAAAAAGCTGATATTCACCATGTCAGCCTAGAGGCTACTTCATCATCATGGCTAGGCTTCGCGAACGAAGATTTGGGAAGGGCTCTACACACGTTTGTTACAAGCACGTTGGTGGCTAAAAAGGCCAATACGAGATAGACACGTCCAGTTGCAAAAGGCACAGCAGAAAGACTCCTTAGGTGGTATATTCTGCAAGGCACGATTCTTTCTGCATTGTCTTTTCTCCTCAAGGGTGATCCTGCGAGCTTTCTCAAAAGCATCAGCAGCGTTATAGATGGTGTGTCTCCAGGCCTCCCGATTGGAGGCCAGAGTAGACCAGTTATGGTGGTCAATGTGGCCAAGGCTGCTTTTGCTCTTTGTGCGACCACATTGGAAGAAGATGCCCGTTGGCCTGCGGTTAACCAACCGGGTGAAGGTGGAGATGAGCTTTGTTTAGGCCACCTTTTCTATTCCCCTCTCTGAGTGGAGCAAGCAGTGATGTCCTTGAAAAGGCTGCTTAGTCTTTCAGGGTGCTGCCCCAAGAGACTGTCATCTCTGATCAGTCTCAAATGACCAATATCCTGAACCGCCTGCATGCAGGGTTGGGTCTGCGGCTCCCAGTGCACCTTTCACCTGCCGTTTCGACCCTCGCCCGTCGCTACAGGGCTTTTTGCATGTGGGTAAAGCCTTCAAGCCTGTGCAAGGGATTTTTTAGGTGAGATGTAGTATGCACGGAACTGAACCCACCCTTTAATCCTGAGGTTCATCTGCCAGGGCCGAGCGAGCTTGGACGGTGGCAGCGAGGTCCTCAGGACGTAGGTTTGATTAGAGAGGCTACTTACTTGGGAGACATACAGCAACATATAAGGTGACCAGAAAAAGCTCCAACCCAACAGAATTTCCTCCTTGCCTCCTTCATGGATTTTGGTAATG